GTCGTTGCTCGCCTGTGAGAAGGCAAGAGAAAAATTTGGCTGCAACTCTTCTCATGTGCAATTATTCGGATAAAATCCTCTGGATTGAATTCCATCCAATGGTTGGTCAATAGTTCGATGACGGTCTTCCCGAACAAGAGCATTGATTTTGTGTGGACATGTTTGTCACTTCTTGACGTGGAGGGGCGTCCTGCTCTGGGTTGGTCTTCAATTGACATTTTTGTAATGTTTAAATCACTCGTAGACTCTGGTTTTACTTAAGGCAGCATCCCCATAAGCAGTTTTAGCATTACAATAGTTTCTGCTGCCAATTTTCCTACAGGAAACAAAATTCCACAATCACATGTTGCTCTTGAGCAATCTGCCATCACGTTTTGGGCTAGATGGAATAAGTTTTTTCATTATAAAAATTCTCAAGAAATATACAAACCGATGCACTCACAGCGACAGAACTTTGCACAATAATTCAGAAGACATGTTCCTAATGGACACCGGTTGGAACAATGGATTCCCCCACTCTTCCTACCTACCTCAGCCCAATTCCTGTTACTTTTGGGTCTCCCCTTGTATAGTCAAAACATTTCTTTCTTTGATTATCTTCATGAACAAATTGCAAGCACAATTTTCTTCGACTGCTAAATTTTTTTTAACTGTGTATGTTCAAGAAAACTGACAATTGGCATTTGATTGATTGCATCGTGGGAATTATTAATTATAATTATTATTTGATTATGGTGTTAGATTAAGGTGATAAATGAAATTTCTGGAAAAATTTATTATTGCTATGAATGAAAGTGTGAAGTGATATATGTTTAATGTTCCCTCATTCCGTTTACATAAATTCCACATCTGATTCATAACCAAGTTGATAAAGGTATCAGATACAATACACAGCTATTATAAATATGATTTTTACTCCGCTTCTTATCACCTTTATCTACTTGATCCTTCAGTTAATAATTATCACATTCTCTCAAATTTCTTTATGAAAAAATATCTTCTGGCATATTAGAAAATATATACTTGTGTGCTTGCTTTATATTTGGTTCTTGGGTAAGTTCGTAGCATCACATTAATAAACAGTTGTTTTATATCTTATTCCACTTTAAAACTGCCACTAGTCATTCAGTCTTTAGGTTATTGTGTTTCAGCAAACTTAGCACTGATATCTATTTATCTCGAAATGATAACACATTTAGCCCTAGTACATTAAAAAAAAAGAAGAGAATAAGTATGTCTATAAAGAATAATAAATTCAAGTTTTTATCAATCGTGACTTCTTCAAGATTGTTAGCAATTGGAAGGGACAAGTAAAATTTTGTGCCATGTATAGAGTTAGTGGATGCGTGGAGCAGTAGTCAGCCTTTGATATTATTATTAGGCTCTCACTTCCAATAACTTCAAATTTAATATTTTGTAATCCTACATTTTTTTTTTTTTTTTTGTCATAAGTTTTTAATTAGTACGTGATTTTTTATTCTAGTACAGTTGTTTAAGGTGATTTAAAAAATGTTTTACTGTAGTGTTTTGTTTAATTCAAGTTTTTCACAAAAATTTCATATCTGGCATGTTAAGTTCCTATAAATGCCGGATTAGGAGGAGCTAACTGTTTTTAAACTTATTTATGATGTGAAGGATTTTAATTTTCATTGACAAGAAATATAAAAGAAACTGAATAGAGGTGGGGTTGGGTAAATTTAAGAAAATGTAAATAAGCATATATTTAAAACCCTTTTTTACATTTAATTTTAAAGAATTTAAATTTTTAAGGAAGTATAAGTAGTTGTTAACCTAATTCGTGCATATATTCGAACATAAAACTTATAAAACCAAAAGTAGGTAATTAGTATGTATATTTTAAAACTATTTAAGAAAAAAAAACTATTAATTTGAAAACAAAAATTAGTTGTAATTATTTATTAAAAAAAAAACATTCAAAATTGAATCAACTGTATTTGTTAAAATTTGGAGCTGCTGAAAGAAAGTTACAGATTAAAAATGATATTCTTTCTTAACTGTACATGGTTTTGGACCAATGACTTTATAATTTTTTTATCAGGCACCCCTTAAATGTTCAATATATTGTGAACATTTTATTTCTATGTTGTGTGTGATATGGAATTGCCTGACAATTTACGGTGCAGAGATTTGTCCACTTCTGGTTTGTTTAGAAAGCACCGTCCTCATTCATGTTTTTCTGTCTTGAAAATTTAGACTAATTTTTTTATCACATTTAGATATCATACAATACAATACAACTTGTAAAAAATAAAAATTGGTCAATCAGTATGTCATAATATGAAGGTACGGAGATTAAGATGGGTAGGGCATGTAGCTCGTAGAAATCCATCCTGGGATCCTCTATATAACAATGAAACCCTCAGTAGAAGGCAAAAGACCACGTGGAACTACGAAACAAATCAGAACTCTGATAAAATGCCAGACATCTGCAGAAATCATGAAATATCTAAATTGCTAAAACTACTGTGAATAAAGTTAGAGTTGACAAAACTTGATTTTTTTCTTCTAATTGTTACAGAATAAAAATGCCAATATTAAATTACTTCAGAAAACTCTTGCTAAAAACATTGATTATTGAATGAAAGATATTTCTATTACATCCAGAAAAAAGTGTTAGTTGTTACAAAATGGTAATTTTATTGTTTAATTTTAAACTGTTCTCTATTCTTCCACCTATCAAAGACTATTAACACATCTCAGCATGGTTTGGACTGTTAGTTTTACAAAATCATGTATTTTGTGTTCTGCAATCAGTTTATGCATTTTTATAAAATTTTATCCAAATTATAAATTTAATAATAAGAAGTTGTAATTTACCTAACGTAAACTTTACAGTCTACAATAATAAAGTGCACAATTCTCTTTGTTCACATTCTGAAATTAAATGATAAATGGTTTCTTCCCATTACTAAAACTCCAACCACAGTATGGGATCATTTCTTGTTCTATCTATTTTAAATAATAAATTATTCGTTATCTGCTCTATGGAAAATGAGAAATTCCTTTATAATCTGATTTTAGATATCAGGAATTATTCGAGTTGAATTTTTAGGAATTCTGAGATAATATTTCAAGAAATATAGCCAATATTAATATCTACAGTCCTGTAAATAGTCTTGTTATTAAGTAATATTAATTATTAAAATTGTAATGTAAACATGGTTAATGTTTCTACTCACAACTTGTTATTTTTCACAATGTTTACATTTTATAAATATGAGGGTGAATCTAAGATAACCAGGTTTTTTGTTCCTGAGCATGTACAGTTAGTAGAACACCAGACTCATGGAGGATAAATAAAATATAAACAGGGTTTTCATAATTGGAAACCCGCCTTCCCGCCGGCAACAGGTGCACCACTCCTCTGTGCAATCCATGATAATCAAAATTTTTGCTTGTGAACAAATTCAAGCAATAGAAATTTTCCAGAGATTAACTGACTGGTCACTTCTGTCATCAAACATTGTTAAGGGCATGGCATGCATGTTTGCCAGGCATAAAGAATTCAAGGAAGGACAAGAATGTGCAAAATATCAGCAATACAATTTGCTGTCCTTTGACCAGTTTTACAGACAAAAACATTGTTACGGTTTAAAGAATTGTTGAAGATAGTTGACGGGTAAGAGTATCAGAAATTGCAGAGTAGCTCAGAATAATTATAGAAGGTATCAAGCAATCTTAACTAACTACCTTCAGCTTTGTTAAGTATGGGCAGTACCAAAAATCAGAAGTTGAGACAGTTGGAGATCAATTAAAAAGATCTTACAGTAAGGCTCGTGAAAGAAGGTGATGCATTTGTGAGTCGGATCATCTGCAACAAGGTCCACCAATATACTTCAGAATCCTAACAAGAAGCCAGTCAGGAGTGGTGGAGGAAAGGGTTGGTGACCCTGCGGAAGCCCAGTTATTGTCAGCTGACAAAGTGCTTCTTGTTTTTTTTTTTTTCATTTTGCTCATTGATTTTTTGCATGAGCGCACACACAATCAACACTGGGTAGTACTGCAGGCTGTTGGATGGGGAGACAGTTGCCTAGTCATTCTACCCCACAGCGATTCCAGATCCCACACTGCAGGCTCTAAGCAGTGTCCAAATATTGGAAATGCACTTGACTCTACTTGATATTATTCCCCTTGTCCATCTATGATTTCTATTTGTTTGGACTGCTCTAAGAACCCCTAGAAGATTCTATGATGTTGAGGGATTCTTGCACAACCAGCTTCTCTCTACAATACTGCAATAATAATCAACATTCTTTATAACAGCATGAAGAAGTGTATTTCTAAAGCTGGAAAAATAAATTATAATTGCCTTTTGTTTTTCAATAGATGATTTTTTTACAAATATAAAATCCCGTTTATATTTTATTCATCCTCGTATTATTATTTTTCCTCTAATTTTTAATAGATGGTCTGAGGTATATATATATATTTTTTTTTTTAAATCTAAAAATTAATATATTCTTTGGAAAACTAAGATCTTTAGTTCTGGGCTCTAGTTATGACTGGGATATATAGTAACAGTGCTTTTTGTTGATAATTAACCAGAGACTGTGGTATCAAATTAACCTCACTCACACTACCTTGACTAGTGCTCTAATTAAAAAGTACATTATATTTTAATTTTTTTTTTTTTTGTACTGTTTGTAACCTATATATGTCTGAATTTAGATTATCTTAATTTATAGAAATATCCCACTCAAAAGGTCCATAGTGCAATTCTAATTCATACTTAATAGTTGTTTATTTTAATGGTCCCTTGTACATATTTGTTTAATGTTAATATTTATTTAAACTTACCTTTACCTTTATTCATTAGAATCTGAATTTGTGGATCCTTTGAATGTATCATAATAAATATATTTTTGTAAAATTTAATCCTTAATTAAAATTTTCAGCTGAAGATAACTTATCAGTTTTATTTTATTTTGATTATTGTATGTATTAAGTGTTGCGTTTCGCAAATGGCGATTATGTTGTAGAGGATGGACCTAGGGGAATGCCCTAAGATCCACGATCTAGCCTTACGAGCAGACTTCGAACATGCTAGCAAGACGAGGGATTACTATTATGACATTGACGTAAGTATTGTTTATTAAGAATTAATTTAGTTAAGGCATTTCATTAACCCTCTGACCCGGAACATCGGTCATTATGACAGTTATAGATCATAAATACGAGAGCAGATCACATGAGCTTTCTCAAAGCGAGCTGTCTTCCTGTGACATCTTCAGCTCGGTTGTTGCAAGCGACCTCGTAACATAAGAGAGGGGATATTGATAGCTGTTTTTCGGTAAGCCACGTTTTATTGTTACCAAGGCAGTCACATTGACGGTCGTTCCGCCTATGCCACAGCGTTCAAAATGACTACTTTCATTGGTCTTTCGACTTCTAACCAAAATACTTCCAGATTAGCTTCATCAACTTCTCTCCAAGAGTTGAGTGGCGTAGAAAAAATATTTTTCTCCAAGCGTTAACATCGTCTTAGAATTAAAGTTGAAATTAAGGAGGAGCCTGAATCTAAAAGTTACTTATATAAAAAAATTACTTTTCATGGTCATCTAAACTCGTGATACGGTCTGGACAAGTGATGAGACACATTGTAATAAACATGCGATGACAGAAATTAAGCAGTTCTGCAATTAATCTTAGTGTAAAATCTCTTGTGTAAAATCTCTTGCTGACCATGAGTGGTGGCATTTACTTTTCACCCCATAAATGGTGAATAAAATTATCACCCACAAAAATGTGAAATTGGTATTGGGTTGTCCGGAAAATAAAGCAGGATTTTGAATTTTCTTTAAAATATCCCTCTATATACCAAAAAAAAAAATTTCTTTTTAAATCAAAATTCTGCATTATTTTCCGGATAACCCAATATTTTATAAATTTTGTATAGTATTTTAATAACACCAATGATTTTGCTTTCAGAGGTTCACATTTCTCATATATTGAATTCCGGTTTATTCTATTCAACTAATAATAATGAGCGAATTTATTATAAAATTATGTGAAAGATGAAAAAATCAGTGTTTTTTTTTTTTACATAGCGGACATTATGACAGATGTTCTGTATAAGGGTGTATCGAAGGATGTTCCGGCCAGTGGGTTAACCACCAATGCATTCATAAAGAATTTTTACAATCAATTTCATTTGTTTTAATCATTTTTCTCAAATTAAAAATTGTATAACGAAGAAATCTTTAGTTAATATTCTTGATGTATCAATTTATTTTCATTCTCCTAGAACATACCTATAATAGTGTTGTGTCCCATGTTAGGCATTGCTATGTTTTTATTACAAGATCAAGTTTATTATTCCTAACACCTAAAATTAAAAAGTTTATTATAAGTCATTAGTGAAAAACAAACCATTCATTCTATTTATAATAGCATTATTATAAATATATCATAATTATTTTTAAAAAACAACTAACCTTGTTTCTGTCAGCTGTCAAATTAAATTAAATAAGGTGTTAAACATAATTTAAATAACTTAAATGGTCTGATTAGTAAAGGCCTATTACAAAAAATTACACTTGCATGGTGCCTCAAGGATCGCTAGCAATTACTTAAAAATGCAATTTGTAGGTGAAAGGAATATACAGGGATTATCTTATTATGTAAATACCTCATAATAGAGCACTTATCCTATATATTATAGTATTAGAAATTCGAAATGTCTGTTACTTCAGTTAGATTTATTCATTTTAGGCTATGGAACAACTTGAAGCATTTATATCAGACTGTGATCGCCGTACTGAAGTAGCAAAGCAACGTTTATTGGAGACCCAAGAGGAACTTTCTGCTGAAGTTGCTGAAAAGGCGAATGTTGTTCATGAGCTTGCAGAAGAAATTGGTAAAAAATTGGCTAGAGCTGAAGCATTAGGAGAAGAAGGTCTTGTAGATGAATCTCTAAAGCTGATGGGTGAAGTAAGACATTTATATATTTATTTATTAGATTGCATGTGAGGCTGTGATGGCTGAGGGTGTTAAGGCTTCACCTTATCAACCTCCAGTCTAGCAGCGCCAATTTGAATCTGGTCTGGGTGGGTTGATATTTATTTTGTTGGAGGCACAAGGATGGATCTCGACCTTCCCATTCTGGTCAGAATAGTTTAGTTACTTATATCCAAGTAAAACTTAATAAAGCTTTCCTAGGAGCTAGAGAAAAATATTTTCTAAATATCTTTGTCATATAATTTTCAGATTGATGAACTTCGTAAAAAAAAACTTGAAGCTGAAGAGGTTTATCGCAATTCAATGCCAGCAAGTAGTTACCAACAACAGAAATTGAGAGTTTGTGAAGTCTGTTCTGCTTATCTTGGCATCCATGATAATGATCGTCGTTTGGCTGATCATTTTGGAGGAAAGTTACATCTAGGTTTTATCACCATCAGAGAAAAACTTGACCAGTTGAGAGTAAGTAAATATTGTGGTTTAGTGATTTATTATTATATTCTTACCTGTATGAGGTAAGAAATGTATTGTTATCTGGTTAATTTCTCTAAGTTTAGATTTCAACAGATCTTCTTAAATACACTTCAGAGCTTCTTAAGTTCAGCAAATGTTTAATATCAGACAGCATCTTCACTATTAAATATATAAAAAAAAAAAAAAATGTCTGTAGGCTGTAGCACCTGAAGTGTTAATAACTATATATATATACCGATGTATATAAGATGATAAATTACTTTTAAATTCACATACACCCGCCGAGGCATCTGAAAAGAAGATGGCCTCGAGATCTCCTTTTGTAAATACATTTTTAGAGTGCTACCAGTGGGTAGTTTCTCAACAAGTGATTTCATGTTGTTATATTCTTTTGTTCACATTTACTGAATGTATTTTTACTTGTAATACAGTTGTAAATATCATCAATTAAAAAAAAAATAATAATAAAAAAAATTCACATAAATCCCACCTGTTTATCCCAAAAGTTGATCTATTCTACATATAGGCAATCATTATTTAAACCTCATTTTCAATTGAAGGATGTTCTGGAGCCAATGAGTGCAGAATAGGATAGAGATGTTCAGCTGCAGTGTCAAGTCTAGTATATGCTCTCTTCCTCACATTGCTTCTCTTTTCTTAAAATGCATAATATTATATGTTGAGAAGTGGCGAAAGTCTGAATTCCGTCGTATGGGGAAAATAACTTTTCAGACTTTTGTAAAACTATAAGTTAAATGGAAGCCATATTGCCCTACTTCTGTTCTGACTTGTTGCCTTTTAATATAAAGTACTTTATCCCTTATTAGATTTGTGTTAAGAAAAATCTTATTATTTATGTTCCCCTAAAATTAAATTGAGTCCCCAACAGTCGTGAGATAAGGATGGTTTAATTGTAAGTTTGTTTATGTAAAGTCTTACTTATTTTATTTATAAATTACATCTTAATATTCAATTTAATAATTTTAAAGTACCTTTTTAGTAAATTTTTAAAGAATAATAAATCACGTACAAGGGAAGGTTACGGACTTAGCGGTGCCGATTTCAGTGAAACTAGAAAAAAAAAAAAGTTTTATCAAATTCAAGATTTCAGAAAGGACTGTAAATGTTTTAATCCTATTTAATTCTTACCAATACTTAATAATCCCTGTAGAACATTCTCTAAGCTTGTTTAATCCCATTAGACTTCTTTAAAAAAAGGCTCAGTTTAGTTATTTGTTTTAAAGATGAAACATGCGAGTCCTACGAAATTCTCATGTTTTTAAGGCATTACTGGGAAAAAAAATTTCATAGCCGCTGAAGCAACTCGTAAAATTATTAAATATGAAGGGAAAGGTGTCCTTGACCAGCGCACTGCCCGGCGTTGGTTTGAAAAATTTAGCAGTGGAGATACGATGTTGGAAAGGAATAAGGGCTCTGGACGGCCATTAATGGTTATTGGTGAGGTTCTCCAGGAAGCTTTTGGAGAAAAACTTGAGGCGTAGGCACAAATTTTGAGTAAAAAAGTTTTATTTTTCGATTAATTTGAAAATTCGTATTTATTTGAGATTTTTGGAAGTGCGAAATACAAATCTCAACTTCGTTTCTCCTTAAAAAGATATTTGAACCTATTTTATTCCTAAGTGAGTACTAATTATTTCAATATATTACTACTCAAACTGTAGCTGTATGTCAAATATATATATTTTTTCTAAACCGATGGGTACCGATAGTAGGTTTACTTACATATACAAAATTCGGTATTTTGTTTCAGATTCAATCCAAAAATAAGAATAAAGCATGTATCTACAATATATAAGTTAGAAAACATTAATCTTATTTGCGTTGTTATTTACATAACACAAGATATTGTTTTACCAAAGCCATTGCTTTTCTTATTTATGATGGATAAAGTATATAGGATATTATTCTGATCAATTACTTCATTATTTTATTCCATTATTATTTATAATTTGTTTTTTTTAAAGAAATCCGTTGAAGAAAGAAGAACTCAACGAAAGGCAGAAGGACGTGATAGAGATCGTGAGAGGGAACGAGAAAGAGAGGATAGGAGCAGATATCGGGAAAGAGAGAGAGATAGGAGATCAGGGTAAGTTGAAATAATTTTGTAAAAACAATTTAAAAGAAAAAGAAGGTTTCTGAATATATATATAAATGAAGTCCGAAGTGACTCTTACACTTTTAATAGTTAGTCATCTTTAAAGTTGTTCCAGAAGGTTTTATTGTCGTTTCTCATATTTTACTCTATAGCACAGCTATTATTTATTATTTAACTTATTTTGCTCAAAACTAAATGAAAGATTTTAGAATTTTAATATCTTTACATATCAATTATACAAAGTTAAATCAGATATAAATCAACTTCCTAATTACTTTATTGTCGTTCTGCTTTTGAGTAAACCCTTTAATGGTTCAAGCAAGTAATGGTCGCAGGCGGGAGAAGTCTGGACTATAAGGAGAGTATTCAAAAATTTCCCAACCCATTTATTCCAATTAGTCCCTAGCCAAGATTTATTGTAATGTCTGTCGTAGGAGGATGACATCTCCAATGGGAATACCTAGTCAGTTAATAGTTTTTGTTAACTACTGGTAATAGTAAGCTGCATCACTGTTCATTGATCTTGAAATCAACAAGGGAAAAGCCTTTTAAATAAAAAAAAATTGTTGCTAGAACTTTTCAGGCTGAGAAACAATTGTTTGCCTTCATTGTCTTTTTTTCCTATTTCCTTCTTTCCCCATTCTTCACTTGTCATTTTGGACATGGAAGCTATTTTTGTTTGTGCAATTGATAAAATATTTTAAAGCAGAAAGATTCAAATAAAGTTTAGGAGTACATGCATGATCGGCTTACTACTCGCCATTAAACTTATTAGGAACAAAGAATATTAAAGTTTCCAAATGACTGGCAATTGTGTGTAAATCAATGTAAGCGACTAAATCGGAAAATGCTGTTAGTATGGTTTGTGTTTAACTTTAATCAATATAAATGCTTACAAAAATATCATCGGTTTTTTGCAAAAAAGCCATTAAGTGACATTTCATAACCTCAAGTAATTAAGAACTTTGACGAATTTTTCCTTTGTGAAATCAGAAAACTTGTAATTATATGTAATGAATGAGAGTATATAATTTCAAGCACTTTCGGTGTTTTTTTTTTTTTTTTTTTTTAGATAAATTAGATAGAAATTCACAAAAACCTATTTGAAAGTTACCCTATATCAAAAATGCACTTAATGATATTTTATAATAAACCGACGATTTTACCTATTTATATTTGATTCACCCTCATAAAAACAAATAAATTATTTAAAAAAAAAAAATTCTTAAGTTGTTTATCTTTAATTGTCAATTTTGTAATGTAGCTCATGTTTCCTAAGATATTTTATTTCATTTATCTCTATAAGAAATCAGCATAATCACAATAACATTATTGTGTTCTCAGGCGGTCACATAGATCGAGGAGTACTTCCAGGTCAAGATCTCACCGATCACGAGACAGATCACGATCCCGAGAAAGTCGAAGAAGAGACCGTTGATATCTTGTTTTATTCAACACTTAAGACACTATTTTTAACATTATCAACACTGTTTATCTGATATGTTTCCTTTTGTAGAGTTTTTGTTTATTTTTTGTTATATATCCACGTGTACGATAATAAATTAATTTGTCACTTTTAAGTTATCATAAATTATATCAATAGGCTTGTTTTAGATTTAAGTGGAATGAATTTTTATTTTTATGAGTTTCACATTTTTTTCTTGCAAAATGATGGTATTTTGTTAGTCAAAAATGTTTTTTTCTTCTCATTGTACATGTTTTGAGGATTAAATGATAGAAAATAAATTTCTATTGTTTATATTAAGAAATTATATTGAATAAACAAAAACTATGTATTATTATTTAGCTTATTTATTTTCTACAAATTTTTCGTTATGCTACTTAGAAGCTTATATTTCAAGTGTAAATAAAGTAAGGTATTTAAAAGTTTCTGTATAGTTCATTTTCTTATTTTATATATTTCCTTTGATTTTATGGCAATTTAACCTTTAAGATAGAAATGAATTTGATAGCTATGTTTTGAAACTAAAATCCTTAAAAGATGTATATATACTTTTTTTTAACTTTAACTTACCTACATATGAGATATATAAGGAAATTATTGCAATTGTAAAAATTTTCAAATCTGAGTTTTCAATGGAAATACATGTTTTGAGGTCTCCTTAGTTCAAATAACCAATTCGTGCAAAGTGGTGCATGCCCCCCGCGTGTGTGAACATTAGCAAAAAATGAAAAGTTGTATGGAAGTGAAATTGCATTTTTACGGTTTTTATATATCTGGGATATTGCAGCAACTTTTTCATCAAAATCGGATAACCGGAAATGGTACTTTATATAACTGATTTTAAATTTTTTTATGATTTTCTCAAAAACGGCTCTTAATGATTTTGATTAAATTCATTTCATCAATGTAAAATTAAGCAGTTTTTAATGTAATGTAGATTTTATTCTCATTGATGTTCTCCAACAGGGCTCAAATGGCTAATTTCCAATTTTTCTTCCTCTAAAGTACCTTTAATTTTTTTATATGCAATCATTAATCATTTACAAAAATAAAAAAATAGTTAAATATGGAAGAATAGTTAACCAAGTAATGGAGGAGCCAAAGTAATACGGGCTTCCATTCGTAACATTAGCTTTATATAATACGGAATCCGACAATATTATATACATAAACATATGTGGTTTTCATAATAAAGATTACTATGATATAAAAATGGAAATCTGTATATATACCAGTACTCCTCAAATAAATAAAAATACTCACAATGAGACATAAATAAATATAGCGGCCTTGTTTATCAGTGGCACTCTTGTCAAACAAAATTGTTTTAATTAATTTTTCATAGTCTATAATTTTTAGCTTACTTCCCTTTGTCTGAAAATACTAATTTCTGCTAAGAAGAGGGTGGTAAGTGAAAGTTGTGTGATCTGTGTACCGCACCAGATTTTTTTAAATTATGAGGATTGATAAGTAGTCAGGAATTATCAACTGGTATCAAGGTTAAACATTATAAATTATATAAGATATGGAGAGAAGCGCATAAATTAGTCAAGAGAAGAAAAAATATATATATTGTAATGTAAATATTTCATAGTGATTTTGAATAGTGGCGTCACGAACTACTGTCAAAAATGCACTAAGACAGATGAAAGGAGAAGTAAGTGCCACAAGTTAAGCCAGAAGGTAACCAGCTGGCTAGTAAAGAGGATCCAGAGAAGAAAATATGACTAACAAGTAGTGATTGTCATAGAAGTTGAATACAATACAGAGGAGGACTCCACTGCAGAACAGGGTGGTTGAAATATAAATAGTGACAGTTGAAAACGCCAAGAGTAGACCCCGACAAACAAATAGAAATTCATAAATATGTTGTATAAGATTAATGTATGCCTTTGATATATTTGAGGAATGTGTGTTAGTTGTCTTAACCCAACCTGAGATATAATTATTGTTTAAAATAAATATAATATGATTCAGAAACTGTTTTGGTTACTTTTCAAAGGAAATGTAACCTAAAAACATGGCGCCCATCATGTGGCTTTGAGAAAACGTAACCTAACAACTTATACATATACTAGATCATGTGAGATTTGCTTAAATTATGCATGGTTCACAATCACTATGGTCACACTTGTTCATGGAATACAGAAAGTCTGGGTTTATCTGAAACTGTATGGAGGTGACCTATCCCTTTACTTAACTAAAGGACGACTATGTGTTAAATACAAATAACTTCTATGACGTCTAGGTTACATCATGTGCCCTTAATACACCTAAACATATATTATACAGCTGTCGAAAAAAATGGTAATAGATAAAAAGCCTTTTAACTATTATAACACTGAATGCTATTTCTTGGGTTATTCTTATATCTTTCCTATGTTGAAGTAGGAATTACGATTATGAGGTTATTATTGAAGAGAAGATAATTTTCTTTGTGCCGACCTTACAGGCCTTTATCGTGTCTGCCCATTCAAAGGATACCTCAGGAGTGATGAGGGATAAGGTTAATTAAAAGTTTGTAGGTATTTCTATCATTTCAAAGATTTTATTAGAATATTTTTAGAAATATTCATTTGGTAATTTTGATAAAACTAAGAGAATCAGATTGGGACTAGAAACTTAATCGCTCTTAGTTTTACTTAATACTAATTTATTATTAATCCAACACTCAGTCCACGAATTTCCTACTTTGGTTCACAGTTAAGTGGATATATTCAGGATGATTAGAGGGTTGTATCCTCTCCAACTATCTGATCTAATGATAGTACCTGAGCGAATTCGAGGCTTAATAATTGCTGTTGGTTTGAAAAACATTTTAGTTCCTATTACATAAGCCCTGATTATCCAAATTCCTTGGATCCCTCTTCCCTTACAAAGATAATAGTCTTTGAACTTTGCTTCATCTGCTTTCACTAATCTGAACCTCTAATAACCTTAACTTGGAGCATCACATTGGAGTCATTATATCTGCCCACTTATGTTACATTAATCCACCACTATTCTAGATAACAGGTCCATCATCCACTTGATATAACCAACCAGGGATGAGGCTCTGTCAACCAGTGAGTGATAGATTCACATACCCTTTATTCTGGAAGAAGGACCTATCAACAACACTTCAAACTTTATTAGGGTTAGGGAACATTCAACCAGATAATGACAAATTTGATCACCTTTTCATAAGGAAGATACGCTTTATCTAGGCATATATTTGTTTTGATTGACCTCATAAAATTATAACAGATGAAAATATCCATTACTCTCCATCTTAGGCACCTAAATACCAAATTAGTAAATTTTAAAGAATGAAACAATTAGGTTAATAAACAGTATTTCATTATTATGTGAAAAGAGGTGGATTAAAAGTTAGTCAGTATATATCTAGGATGTGGAGGCATGTCTCTTCTTAAAGCCCCATGGTTTACAACATTAATAGAATTTTAATTACACCCACCACATTGATTGTTTGGATTCATCATTGTAATGTAGGTACTTCAGGTCTGCGAAATTCATGAATAAGACAGAAGTATCTGATAGAATTTTATGCTCCATTGCATGAGGAAGGGGGAAAAGGAGAAAACTGATACAGATGTCAGAGTCAGAGGTTGCCCAGAATATTTCTGTAAGTTTTTTTTATGAGATATCCATGCAGAATGACAGAATAGAAGAGTTATGATTCACCCACCAAAGGGAAAGAGAAGATGAGAAGGCAAGATAAAGTGGCCACAATTTAATTTATTTATTTACTACATTTTAATTTGTCTCCAAAGCCTTAGTTAAAGTATTCCTTTTTTTTTTCTTCTATTAGCAATCATCATGACATTCTAAATATACAATTTCCATCATATTTTCTATTTTTTTTTCTCCTCTCCGTTTCAGCTGTACGGGTTTTTTCTCGGGTCAGGAGAGAGAGTGGGGGATTATTGTCGGAGTTAAAAGCTCCCGGTACCGGGGTGCGAACTCTAAATATTTTACTATGTTATCTTCAATTTATCAAGTTGTCCAGTAACACTTGTTTTGCAAACATGTGTTAGGCTGATCAGCCAACCCGCCACCTCTCGGAGGTGCACTAGCGGATCCAGGATTTATTTTTGGGGAGGGCTTCAGCCCGAAACCTTTTTTTTTTCATAAAAATAACGATAATTACTTTGGAAAAACAGAAAAAAACTAACTACCTATATGAAATGGTGTTTAAGTTATTCCTTAAGTACTTTTAAATGTAATTACACGAACAATAATACTTTAAGAGGTATTTTTAAAATTTTTTTCCCATAAAACATGGTTATATTTTTCCATTTTGGGGGGGGCTTCAGCCCGAAAGCCCCCCTCCCCCCCCGTAGATCCGCCCGTGGCTCGGTGTAAACCTCATTAATAGCTCCTCTAAGAAATTTCATCTAACCCTTAACCTTAATTGTATTCATTTTGGCTCTCTCTTCTCCCTCAAAGTAATATGTCCAAAAACAGTTAAAATTGTTTGTTCGTAATTTATTTTTTCTTTCATACAGTCCGCTCATATACAAAACGAGTTGAGTGCCTGACCATTAAGTCGAAGGCATTCAATTCTATACAGTAGGAATAATAAGAGGCGAGATGATGAGGACCGTAAGAAACCAAAAATGACAAATAGTACTGGAAAGAAGAGATAGGTCGATGGAACTTCGATAATGGGAAACCTAATATCTTTGTGGGACATAAAAAACAGTTCCAGTGACAGGGAATTAAAAATGGTACGGAATTTGTGTGTTGGGCACGGAGTGGCCGAGTGGGTTAACGCGTATGCACAGCACCGCGTTACCTGGCAATCAGATGGAAGATAATTGAAATAAATAATTACGAGTTCCCGTCTCGGTGCCGGGGAGCGGGGTGGGCTTTTAACTCTAACTTAATCCCTGGCCCGGGAAAAATCCGTATTGCCTAAGCAAGGAAGAGGTCAAAAAAGGTATAGAACTTGTGGGGCATTCCAAAGAACCTAATACGTACTCAAAGCCGTTTGGAACTACTCTAACATGGACTTTATAATGACTCCGGGCGGAACTGTTTAGACTTCACCTTGGCTTATTACCACCGCCTGGAGTTCAGGAGCAGGAGCCATTGGTATGAGCTCTATATCAGTTCCACCATTTAAACTAGACCATGGCTTAATAACTTAAAAGAAAGATTAACCTCTACTAGGCTTTATTACACATAAATTTACAATACATTAAACAATTAATTATTAAACACGTGTGTGTCTAGTAAATAGAAAATAATTCAACTTTATAACATAGCTCCACCCAGATTAGTTTATAAGCTCTAAAGGCCAGAACTATCCTTATTTATCAGATGTTTGACAAGATTTGATTGGATGCAACTAATTGAAATTCATTTAGAGTGCTACCAATGAGTAGATTCTCTACAAACCTTGTCATGTCATGTACTTCTCTGTATCACATTTGCTGAATGTATATTAATTGTACAGTTGTAAATTTCATAAATAATAATAAAAATTCATTAATGTTCTTTTCTGTCTCTCTCTCTTTTTGTAACTTGTTTATTTTACTCATTCATGCTCCATTTATTTAGAGTGAACTTAAAGTAAATTTACATCCTCAACCTGACAACTCTGGTTTTGGGATTTATCATAATCGCTCTATAATTACTGTTATATAGCTTTATATAACTGATTCACTCGCTTCAAAACTCGTTAGCTAGTAGCTTATATATTAGCTCAATGTAAACGATCTTATAGCGTTTTATCTATCATTTCAATCACGATGATTTCGTTCAATGATATTTACTGGTTACCCACGTGAAGGTATTCTTGTTTACTGCTTCATGATAAAGTTCTAAATATTTAATAGTGATGACTTCCAGAGTTTCTCTGGTAATTCCGTTTGTCATAATATTTAGTACATTTTAAAACAATCATTATTTAGCTCCTCTCCTTTCTTTATTTGAAAGATTATTTCTGTAATGAGTACAATTAAATTTTTGTTAGTTTTAATGCTTTGCCTTCACCCAAAAGCCACTGTCTATTTATTTGAAAATAGCTTTAATGGAACAAAGTTTCTTTAGATGCCATTAACAACTTGTAAAATTAACAGCAGGAATTGCAGGACAGAATAAGGGCTGCAAATATCTGTTCTCTTCTGGTCTGGAAGCCCCCTCTAGAAATCTGTTTGATGAGGCAAAAATATAAAAAAAATACACCTATTGTTTATCACCTGTTAATAAAACACAATATTTAAATATACCAGAAAATATAGGAAAAATCAAATCCTGTGATGGGGCTTCAGCAGAGCAACTTGTCAAAAAATGGCTTACCCCATTGGTCACCCTAAAATATGGCAACGCTGATGGAATATCAGACATCTGTAGGAATCATGAAATGTGTAAATTGCTAAAACAACTCAAATCAGGGCCAGAGTTGCCAAAATTTGGGTTTAAATGTTGACCACACACCGTTTTTCTTAAAATAAGTGGCCTTTTGGGGATTATATTTCAAATTACATTTTCATTTATATTATATTTTCAGAATTTTAGCCTATAGGTGCGAGTGAGAGAATATGTGTGAATGACAGTATTCGCCTCATATTTAGGATGAGAATTACCTTGGCTTTTTTATATAAATTTATGCATTGAAATGGTGGGTTAATTATCGTTAAAAAGATAAACTAAACTTTTGTCTTTCAAAAACGTTAATTTTTTTTCCTTAGAGTATTAACGGGTGGTTAAAAAATGTAAATACTGAAACATTTAAAAAATAGCGTTATTTTTATTCCAATGTTACACTATAGATAAATCACACCCAAATTAAATAATACTTTTATCTCCTACTGGTAATTGTACCTTTATAATTCAAGAGTTAGTAATTTTTCATAACAGATAGTAGCTTAGTGGTTTATCTTTTAATCTGAGTAGAACTTTTTATTTTCTTAGCTAACTATCAATAAGTTACCATTACTTATAGTTTGAAATATTAAGAATAAATAAATAAAATATGTCTGTCGAAATATATGGCTGTCATAATCCTTCAAATAATAATATTGCCACAAAAAATGACCGAAAGGTTTTTTAAAAAAAGTAATGAATTGATTGTGTTTTTAATTTTCTTTTTGCCATAAGTCATATTTTATGTTAATGTTACTTTGATGACTACTTTCTTTCATTTATCTTATTTTGTTTTAATTTTTCTAGGCTTCAAAACTATACAAGTTTACTTTGCCAAATATACTTGAAACTCAGGGAAAACATCTTCCTGAATCTTATAAGAAGTTTTATAAAGAATGGAAATTCACTCAACCTCAACCTGTTCACTATATCCCACATCAAGCCAAGTGGTACAGAAATCCAAATACTGGTGAAGTGTAAATATTTATTTAATTTATCTTTGTTATTACATTTCCGTTTTTATCTATCTTTGAAAAATAATTTAAATCTTTTGTTAAAAGTTGTTTTCAGTTCTCTAGATTTTACTTTTTCTTTTTTTTTTTTTAGAAAGCCTTTGCAAAATACTCCCATTCCCGTTTATTTCCCACCTGAATCAAATAAAGGGATTTGGGGTGGTGAAGCAGTAATTAAAGGTTTCCAAAAGAGACAGCGATTAAAACAAAGAGTCCCTCATTTTTGGGTTCCACATTTGATTCAGTCAGTGGTCTACAGTGAAATACTGGATAAAAGAATGTCCGTAACTGTTACGCAGAGAACACTTGATCTAATCATTAAAAACTATGGTTTTGATCATTATGTTCTTAAGGTAAAATTATGTTCTAATTATTTAATTAATATTTATCTTATTATCAGTTAGTTGTTTATAGTTCAGCTGGTTATTTGCGCACTACTGAAATTAACTATTTTTCATTCATAATGGTATCCATCTTACTGGTAATTTTAACTAGATTGGATTGTATGAAGAAGCTTGAATATGAAACCAGATTTCGGATAGGATTGAGTCGTTTGGATTCTTTGAGAAATTAGATTTGTGATTTGACTATTCTTTCTATAGGTTTGGAAATAAGTGAGACGGTGCAAATTTGGTAGTAGCATTTAAGAGAGTGAAATTTTTGTTCATGAGAGAGAAATTTTTGTTCATATAAAGGACTAAGAAATTCTCAAAGATTAATTTTAAAGAGAAAAAGTATAGAGGTATAAAAGGTAAAAAATAAATAAAAGACCATATAATGGTAAAAACTGGTGGCTCTCCCATAACCATTATTTCTGAATTCCACTATTGTTTAAATTTAAATTGTTTAAGTTTAAATTGTTTAAATTCCACTAGATGGAATTTAAATTTTCCTTATCAAATACACAAATCATTCTTTTAAACTGAAGTACTAGTGATCAATATATGCTAAGTGAGGGGTTGAAGAGGAAAAATATCTTTTAGATCAACAACCATGTAGCAAAAGAGGCACTTAGTAACTATCAATTCAGGATTGTAAGAGATTAGTAATGCAACATTGAACAACCTTGCTAAGTACTACTAAGTGCTTTTCTTAGGAAGGTCAAAGCATCAGGGATATTTATGGCACTTAAGCATAACAACATTAGTATGATGAGAAACGACTATATTCTGAATAGTTCCAAGATGTTTCCTATGAAAGGAGAAAAGCATATTAATTAAAAAAGTATTTTTTTTTTTTTTATGTGAATCAATGTTGTTAGATAGATCCTTTAATTTATTATTTATTTGTTTTAAACATTTTGATAATTTTAATGTGAATTAAGTATAAATTGTCTTTTAAAATAAAGTGACTATTGTCTATTCAACATGGAAAATAGGCGTTAATGAAGTTTGCAATATTTTTCAAGAAAAAAGACATGTAAATAGGAACAGCAGATTATGGTCAGGCGCCGAAACGTATTTATATAAAGTAAAGATTATAAAATAAAGAGTAAATTGTGATACAGGAGGTTGAAGAAACTTGTATTTTTATCAACATAACTTATTATTGTCCCATCCATTCTATTCATAAATAAACTCAATTATAAATATATTCTTTGATTTGAAATAACAATCTTATTATTTTTATTTATGTAATATCCTTAGTTTTATATAATTATCTTAGCTTAGAATTAATTAATTTGATTTTGTTAACAGACCAAAGCTTGTGATTTGCAGTCTACTCTAGCTTTGAAGTTAAAGAAAAAAATGTTGTTATCACTATTAAAAATGGATCTATACCCAGAAGATCCTATTAAGAGAGATGAAATTTATAACAAATATAAGCATTATTTAGAAGAGGTAATATTATTTCTTATATGTTTGTCTACTTTCCAATTTTTTTTTCATTTGCTTTTTGAGCTATATTTTCTTACTAATTGTATACCATTGAATGGACAATTTGTTAATAAACATGAGGTGTAAGTATAGTGAAAGAAAGCTCCATAATTTAAAGTTCTGTTAGAAATTACTTTATTGGTGAATCTCAATCTTATATATGAATTGTTTTTTGAAAATATGCATTTATTCACAGGTTATCATAACACACAGTTATCATTCAAAAAGCATTTTAACACAATTACAGCCTAATTTTTTGTTTTATTTTATTTTGTTTTTCCTTCAACTTATCATTTGTCACAATAATTTCAAGTGAATAGCTTGTGTATCTTCAGCTCTGTTAAAGCATTTGCAATGTTTAGAGGTTCTTTATCAGAATCTCCCAAAGAAAAATAAATTTTGGATCTATATGTTTCTGATTTATATGATTTTTAGTATATTAGTTAAATCTACTTAATACATTACAATATATTTTTAATTTATTTTTTTTACTAGTTTTAAATATAAATTTTTAAAAATTGAGAAAACAGATGAATTTCAATATGTCCTTGACCACAAATTACTCGTAGGTTTGAAACCAAAGGACGATACTAGAAGGATGTTTTATAGCTAATAATATGAGCTTTCATTTGGTACCTAACATGACAATTTTATAATGAGAATTTTTTTACTTCTTTAAAAAATTTTGAAAATCTTAAAACATCATCTTGGATTACATATTTTAGTGTACACGTGGCATTTAGAGGGAAAAGATATTACCATCTCTATTCAGCCCATAACTTATTAGTATTGAGAATTAACTTAATCTAAATAGTAGTATTGACATTTTAAAATAATCACAGTTCAATAATAATAACAGTTCACATGGTTCTTTGTCAAGTTTACCTATATTTAATTATTTTTTGAGCTACCATAGTAAGTTCTTTAAATTACTCAAAATTTATGCTGGATTGGTGAAAGGAGTTATCACCAAACAAGTGTTTTAAATTTTGCCTGGGCTGTCTATTAAATTCTAGTATAATAATTGAGTTGCATTTTTTTTTTTCCAGTATACTGAAGAAGATATAGAATGGTATGGTTTGACATTTTCTGAAGCATTAATAAAATATGAAAAACAAATGGATATGAAACCTATTGTTCCATTAAAAATTAAATTACGGAAAGAATATCTTGCACACTTAGAGGAAGAAAAAAATAATCCTGCACAAGAGCTGCTGTTGGATAAAAAAGAAGGGTATCAATTTTTCTTAGTTTCATTATGGAATAATTTTAACAATGGCTAAAATGGGTTTTTAATATTATTTTTTTATTTTTATGTTTATTTTATAGGTTTTTAATCTCTAGTATGACCCATCCTTCTGTTCACTACCTAATTAGAGTACTTTATGATTTTTAATCAAATATTCAAAGATTATAGGAAAATAAATATCTCTTAATACCTTCAGCTTCAAAAATAAATATTTAGATTAAACGTTCTAAATTGCATAGTCCTAAGTTGCCACTGGGCTGCTATGCTCAAGGTCTCAGGTTTAAATCCGGTTGATGTCAAGTAATTGTTCCTCAGCTGTGGATCAACCCTGGGGTCGAAAGACCCTCCTTGGGCACAACCTGCCTCTTAAAGTGGGTACTCTTAATTAAATAATTAATTAAGGGGGAAAACCTGGGGTTTGAGCGTGATTCAGGTTCTATCTCCTCCCTGCACACCATTGGTTTTAAAACACTACTTCCTAACAAAGTACTGAACCCAAAACACTTTATGGGTTGTAGTGATACAGGTTGTTCAACATCCCAAATTAGGCGTTACATTCTTTTTAGGGTCTGTACCTTCCTCTTCTGCCTAAATTTTAATTTCATACAATAAATAAAGAACAAATATTAAGTTAATTTATTTCATTAATACTTGAAATTTATTAAAAAACTTTTTTTACATTCCTACCTCTATTAGACAAGGAAAGTATTGTAATTGAGTCAAACTTTAAATGTAAGGTTTTTGGATCTTAATATTTTAAACTTCTCTGAGTTCAAAAATGCATTTTCATCCATTGGTTTGAGTATCTGTACTACAATTATCTCTCAACTCACTTAGGGTAGACCGATTCTGTTGCTTCTGTTTTGTTTTGTAGAGATTTTTAGCAACTAATTGTCTGTCCATTTTTACTTTCATTTACCTATATGATAATAATAATAATACTTTATTTATTCTGGGACAAGTCCCTTTAGAATAATACAATGTGGGCTAAGGAGCCTCAGAGATACGTAAAAAGAAATGTTGAGTAATAAAATAGTCATATTAAAAATTATATGTTACTTTCTAACTTAAATAAGTTAATAATAAACAATTTTAAAATAAAGTAAAAATAATGAAGAACAATCTAATAATTTATATACATATTTTCAGTGGTATCTATTTACAATTTTATGTGGACTGGATGGATAAGAAATGATTGAACAGGCGGGATTTAAAGGTAGGAAGGGTATTAGATTGACGGATGTGGGAAGGAATGGATTTCCATAAGAATGAGGATCGGATAATGAATGATCTGTTGAAAGCAGCGGTTCAGTGGGCCCTTATGTATAAATCAGAAGACCTGGAACGAGTATTGCGGGAGGGAACAGAGGATTTGAATTGGAGGAGCTCGGAGATGTATGTAGGTCGGTGGGATCGGATGACTTGAGGAAGGATGCCAGGAAGTACTTACGATGGTAGGAAGGGTAAAGCCACTTCAACTCTACATAAAAACGGGAAACAGAGGCGTCCCTTGGGATCCAGAAGATGAATCGTACAAAGCAATTTATCAAGAGTTTTAGTTTCACCTCGAGAACCCCAGATACGCCCCCATATACTGTACAGCAATAGTCAAAGTGGGGAAAAATTAAGGAAGTGTCCAGGAGTCTTCGTGTTTCAAAGGGAAATAAGTGACGGAAGTGGTTTAGGCGTTTTAAGGTGGAAATGGTCCAGTGGGAAATGTTGGATACATGGTTTTTCTAGGAAAGCGTTTGATCTAAGGTTATTCCAAGGTTTTTGATAGAGGGATAAAATTTGATGGGATTATAATGTAGGAAAAGAGTTGGAATATGTGGAACAGTTTTAAGGAGGTAATTGTAGCCAATTAAGATTGTCTTTGTCTTTTCCGCATTCAACTTCAACTTGTTGGCTCTCGCCCAGTCGCAAATCTTATCTAAGTCTTCTTGAAGTTTTTCTGTGGCTGATAATAGGTCGGAGAGCGGGAAGGACAGGTATATTTGGAATCATCAACGTAGATATGTTATTGGGAGTGACGGATCAGGACAGGAAGGTCATTAATGTAAATAGCAAACAGAGGAGATAGAGAGGAACCTTGAGGGACACCACAGGAGAGGGGGAGAGTCTTAGATCGGAGTTGACCTTGGACGACTACATACTGGGACCGATTTGAAAGGAAGGATTTGAACCAACGCAGGACACTGTTGGATAGAGGAAGATTGTGCAATTTTGTAAGGAGAATGTTATGGTCAATTGTGTTGAACGCTTTGGAAAATTCTAGAAGGATGAGGAAGGTAAGGTTTTGGTGTTCAATGGAGTTTTGGAGGTCATGGGTTATTTTAAGGAGAGCGGATTGTGTTGAGTAGCCAGATTGGAATGGATTGATAAGGGAACGTTCTTCTAGGAAGTTGGAGAGTTGATTTTGGACAAGGCGTTCTAGCGGCTTTGAAAGGTTGGATAGGAGAGAAATAGGACGGAAATCGTGCAGTGAGGTAGGGTTTGAAATTTTATTCAAAGGTCGGACTAGGGCAGTTTTCCAGGAGGATGGGAATATGGAGTTTTGCAATGAAAAGTTGTAGATATGCTAAAGGAATTACATATATAGTAATTCTCTTATTATATATGTAATATATAATAAGGGAAAGTATTGCGATCATGAAAATTTTCGAATCTGAGTTTTCAACGAAAATACACATTTTGAGGTCACTTTAGTCCAAATAACTAAGCCATAATAACATAAAATGGTCTGTGTGAACAGTCTTGCTCAAAAACAAAAAGTTGTACGAAACTGAAAATACGTATTTAAATTAAATATATACCTGGGATGTTGAAGCAACCTTTCCCTTAAAATCGGTTTTTGATTTTATACATTTTTACAATGTTCTCAAAAACGGCTCTGATGATTTTGATTAAACTCAGAGGTCTTTAATATCATTTAGGTCTATCCACATTGATCTGGCTTAACAGTGCTTAAATGCCTAATGTTCAAAATTTCTTCTTTTAAAGTACCATTAATTTGGTTGATTTTAAATAATTAATTCCCATTGTTAGGCATTAGGAAAAAAGGCTAAATATAACTTTTGAAAGAAGAATTTGATAATTTAATAAAGGAGAAAAAAGGAAAAAGGTCAAAAATGAATAATAGTCACAAAGTATACGTACAATATATCATTGGAAATGGAGAATTTTAGAAAAAACAATATCAAATATAGAAAGTCCTAGAAGGTAATAGAGTGACAAAAAACTATAAATAATAATTTGTGAAAACTAGTCCTACATATTATTTCTAAAAGGTGTTTTTTTGTCGGTACACCATAACTTCGTCAATTCTTCATCAAATCCAATGATTGACCATTTTTCTTGATTGTACCCATGAAACATTACCAAATTAACTACAAAACAAAAAAAAAAAATCGTAAAAATGGATTAGAACTATGTATAATTTAAACAATATGTGTTAACAGAAGGAGTAAAGTGTGTTGAAATATTTTTTTAAAGAGTAACAGAGTTGAGATTTGTATTTCGCAGCTCGAAAGACCCTTGAATACGAATTTTCATTGCGATCGAAAAATAAATTCTTTTTTCTACAAATTTGAACTAAGGCTCCTTCCATTGGTTTTATTTCGAAAATCACAAAAAGTGTTATAACTTCAATATTATTCCACATATTCACATGAAATTTTGCAGGGATATAGAGCCATATAAACTAAAAATGACACAAACTGTTCTCTCCTAAATAATTTAGAACTCAAGTTATAAAATAAAAATCTGTTAGGAGTTTTTATTTATTTACTTTATAGACGTGTTAAATCAAAACGTTATTTATCCGGTCTTGAAGAGCGATAATTCAGCTTTCCAACAGTTGTAGAAACATTGAATTAAGATAATATACTGAGGCGTTATGAATGTTTTAGTTAATGGCAGGCAAAAACATCATAATGAAAAATGAAGTCGTTGCCATGTCGACTATCTCAGCACAGCTCTTCTATCCTATATATTATTTCTAAAAGGTGTTTTTTTTGTCAGTACGCCATAACTTTGTCAATTCTTTATCAAATCCAATGATTGACCAATCATTTTGAAGATATTCTTTTCCTTCATATGGAAAAAATATTCCTATCCTTCTGAAATTTCTGGAAAAAAGTTATGAAGGAAAAGAAACTTTATTTGTGAATAACTCAAAAAGTATGCATTTTTTTTCTTGATTGTACCCATGATATTAGAGAGATTACTAAATTACCTACAAAAAAAAAAATCGTTAAAATCAATTAGAACTATGTATAATTTAAACAATTTGTATTCATGGAGGGTGTATTAATATTCAGATAATTATTAACAAAGATACAGTCCATTAGTTTGGTTATGTATACAGAAACAAAAAAGTAAAATTTTCAAAAAAACATGTTCTAATCATCTAATGAGACATGAAACCAACATAAATAATGCACAATATGTTTGTTTATACTATTTATTTTTTTTTTTTTAGATTTTTTTATCTTTAGTCTAATATATTTGTTTGCAGTTTTTCTAAAAATTATGAAAATATCACATATCTCGTTTCTGGAATAACCTATTCAAATATATTATATACAAAGAACAGATCTTTAGTAATTATATAAATGATATTATTTCATCTTTAATTCTCATTAAAATAACTATAAATCAAGTACAGCTATGTAGTATAGCAGTTAGAACCTTGTCAAACCAGTTACTTTTAAAAGTTTCTTGTCGTTTTAACCATATCACACTGCTAGTTTCCTTATTTTTCAACTGATGGCATTAAAATTCATTTGGAACATAGATAACTTTTTTGTGATTTTTGAGTGAAGACTCAATTTACCCAAATTTGTTAGTTACAATTTTTTCAAATCAAGGCCTCCAATTGGTGAAATGAAATTTTAGATTTATAGTTTTTGTTATTTTTCAATCATTTACTTTAATTATAGTTTCATTATTTTTTTTTTTCAGATCATGGATTACAAAATTGAACCCGTTTAGCAAAAATTAATTATTTATTTATTCAATAAATATTTTTAGTTATTTAATAAATTGTTGTAGTTTATGCATTTGGATTTCCTTGTTTAGTAAGCTATGAAATTAATTTTAATTGTTTTACATCTAGTTTGATTTTCCTCTTTATACTCATAATCATCTTAGATAAGTGTTACAGGTAATATAACTTTCTTTCTGACTGGTAAATTATTATTTGCCCTCTGCTTGTCTTATTGCTGAAAAATAATAGCTGTTTTTTTTTTTTTTTTTTTGGGTCCTCCCCGTTAAGGCTATACAGGGTTTTCCCGTGCTAGAGGGTGTGGGTGGGGATTTAAAAGACTCCTCTGGCACCTGGACGTGAACTTGTGACTATTTTTATATCATTAAGTCATAAATCAGGTTGCCGGACAACGGCGGTGCAGTGCACACGCGTTAACCCATTCGGCCACCCCGCCCACTAAATAATAGCTGTTTTTTTTTTTCTGTTCTTTCCTACCTCGCCTTTCAGGCTATACGGGATTTTCCCGGACCAGAGGGTGAGGGTGGGGAATTTAAAATCCCCTCTGGCACCGGGACGCGAACTCGTGACTATTTTCATATCATAGAATCATATATCCGGTTGCCGGGCAACGGCGGTGCAGTGCACACGCGTTAGCCCATTCGGCCACCCCGCCCTCTTAATAGCTATGTATTAGGGATGGGCGATGGTCGATGGTTGATAACTATCGATAGCCATATTGATAGTCCTAGTGACTATCGATAGTTCGCATCTTCCCCTTCAGACATAAATTATTTTATTGTCTATATTTAAAGAAATCATTTTAATAATTTCTCTCCATACTTCTACCCATTTATTGATGTACAAGATATAGTGATACAATATAATGTAAAAGTAATAAAATATAACATATAATTAATTATAAGGTTGTCGCATGAGTTTTTGTCGCCCAGGGCGAAATTATATCCTGAAACTCGGCCAGTAGTATATTGTCTCACATTTACGGGTCATATTTATTTAACTTAATTATACTTTTACACTTCCGTTTACTATCGATAAATCTCTTAAGCTTATGTTATGTGGATTTTATGTTATTACAATCAATTAATAAGAAGCTTTTTTTAAACCATAACATTAATATGTTTCAGCAAATCTGACAATTCTTTTTGACATTTATAAAATCAATGGCATAAATTAAAAAGTTAATTTTAAAAACAAATTCAGTATTAATCATTCGTTTTTTTGTTTACCATAGTTCAGTTGATATGTTGAAAACTTAGATCTATTTATATGATATATAACTTAAGGTGAAGAAAGGTTTATTAATGAGGAAAAAAAATAAATCACCAAAATATTTTATAATGTGCATTTTACAGGAAATTACATTTAGTCAGAAGTTTCATTGGGAATCTGGTCCCAAGTAGTCCAGACTAACACGACTCATCTGTATATAGAAATAGTAACATAAAAGTACTAATGTTAGTATCTGAGTTTACAAATTTCTTGCTACAGTGAATATATCATAATTTTACTTAAGATAATTTGAACCAATAAGTGCAAAGAACAGTTTTTGAACAATATTTCTGACTGTAAAAATATGTTTAGTTTTTTTTTCTGCATTTTTACACATACAAAATTAATCATATAATATGGAAGGAATCTAGATGAAAAATAAATATATTAGCGAGCTAATATATGTATGGAATACCAAAGTGAAAAATGGAAAACTGTGAGGATACCTAAAATAAAAATTTAAATAATTATTTCTTGTTAAAGCAAAACAAACTTAAAAAATTATCCAAAAAGTTGGAATATTTATTTAAACACTTATTCACTGAGACTACAGGTATTATCATCTAAAAATAAAATTAATGACATAGTTTTAGGTGTTATTTATTTGAATTCCTTTTTGCCACATTAAAAAAAAAATCAATACTACAAAAAAAATATAGCTGTAATGTTTCACAGCCTAACAAAAAATGTTACTAAAAGCTTATAGTGTTTTACTTAAATTCTTATATTAACTTAAGAAATGATCACATTATTAAATAAAATTCCAATAAAAGCTGATCATTTCAAAAGTATTGTGGCCATTTTCAAAATATATGCAACTTTCCAGTCCGTAAGGTTTCTGTTTATCTCTACTATTTTCACCTTACTTTGGTGGCGATTTTAATTTTACATAATATATAATATGTAGTCAGGAGGATTATTAAGATAGATTAATTCAAAATATTCCATAAAAATGAATGTTACAGGTGTCAGTTTATTAAAACTTAAAATGTATTATATAGCACATCTATTTTCAAGACCAAGTTTAACTGTATAGAAATAAAATATTAAAAACCAGCATAACATGGTTATTATTATAATTCAGTGTCAAAAGTATTAACCTAATAACTACTTATATGTAGTGTTTTGAACATTCATTCGATTAAGTTTTCTAGTGAATGGTGTTTCACTCAGTAGGCATACTTTCATCATGCCTTACCTCGTAAGACATTTCTAAAATGTTAAATCCCAATTTATAAGGACTAAATCAATTTATTAAGTGTTATGTTAAGAAAACAAGACCCATACCCATAAGTAATACTCAGGATACATATACTTATTTTTCAGTAATATAACAAAGAATGATACAGAACTTATAAAATTAAGCATTGTTCTCTATAGGTGTGAACCATAGAGGGGCATAATCATAATCAATGATTACAGTAATTTTGATTATGTGAATAACGATTACTATCGTAATCAGGTTTTCGATTGCTAATGTAATCAGGTAATTGTGTCACATTTTTGCTATAATGGTAGTACTATTGTTTCAAGTAAAAAAATTGGAGTAGTTGTTAGGTTTTATTTTCAGTTGTAATCATGTAATCATTGATTCCAATTTTTCCCATCTCTGGTATGAACTAATAAACCTAAAATGACAGTGGCGTTAAAGCAAGTACAGAGAAAATACTTGAGCAATCTAATTAAAATGTAGTAATGCAATGTTAACACAACGAGTTCTTAATAACATAAAAATATTTTATGTTATATTTATTTATTTATGTTATAATCTTTAATGAATTATTTAAAATTGCATTTATTTTGAAAATAACTCATTGAATCATAATTGTATTAAAAATGTAATAAAAAAAAACTATTACCACTTGCTAATTTGATTGATTTTTTAATAAATCAATGATCCATACATTTAAATGAGAGCAAGTGAGCTTTTAAATTATCAAAAATAGTATCAATCTAATATTGATCTTATTAAAGAGCAATCAATAAAAACAATATTAATAATTAAAAAGTTAATAGGCAATAATATTACTGAGGTTTATACAGCGTAGCCGACAGCTAACAATTTCAATTTATGGTATACATTTATGAACATACTATGTATACCACTTTCGTATACCATTTGAGTCAGTTAGCAATTAACTGGCATACAAATAAATTCAACGGTCATAGATTCACTGGCATTTTCATTCAGCACGTAAGAAGCTGCTGGGCACTTTATATTAATTGCATACAAAATCAGTTAACCATTAACAATTGTCAGTTGAAACTAATACATAATAATTACTAAACTGATAATCCCACAGACCATCATGCTACAACCTTTCTCTATAAGTCCTGCTTCTTTGTTGTTCCTTGAGTTTCTAGGCTAAAAATTATTAAAATATAGAATCTACCTTCAATGGAACTTAAAGATTAGGAATGTCATTATGGAAATTTGGCCAAGGATTTTATTGTAATAGTTGTCATATACAATAAGAGTTCCGCTAATTCAGACTCTAATTTTCCGGACATCCAGTTAATCTGTTTTAGCTCTGTTACGTTGAAATAGTTATTTGTTCTGGTGAATTCTGCAAAGACTAAGTATTCATATGTTTTGCAGAAACTTTTATTTATTTTATGAAATTCTTAATTTCATCAATGTTCCATGGTTTATCCAGTGGCATTTTAAAATAAATAATTTTGAGTTTTAATCACAAAAATGCTTTGTGACAAAGATACTTTTTTTTAACACAATCTCAGGTGGAAGATTTAGATTAACATATAATGCTTGTAAAAAAAAGTATGAAAACAAATTGCTATAATATTTATGAAATGAAATTTATAGCTACTTCTATTTCATCCAGACTTATGGTAACCTGAATGGGGCCTGATCCTATCCAGCCTCTATTAGTAGAACTCTAGTGTATTTCATTTTTAAAATAAAAGAACTTTAAAAAAAAGGTCATAACATTCTAGCATAAGGTTTATAAGATAATGTATAAGTACCTGATTAGTCATGAAAGATAGCAAACATATCTTTGTAGCATATTGCTAAAGTAACAAATTTCAAATGAAACAAACAAATATTTTATTACATTTTAGTGACTTTATATTACACAATAATATATGTAAAATGACCTGATTGATTTGTAATAAATTATTAACCATCTGACTCATTAAAGCCTCGTTTACACGGAGACAGTTTTGTGTTTTGGTAGAAATGTCACTACAAGGACATAATCGTAGTGTCATTGTCTACATTACATGCTGAGATTTGAAAACAATTTGTAATATAGAACAGCTATTTGAGCATTACACAACTGAACGAACAGCTGATGCCATGATTATTTTAACAATGGCAACTCATTTATATTTTTTTCAAAAATCAAGAAACTTAATTTCAATAGAAAATTTAAAGTAAACTAAATTAATAAAAGTAATCTAAACACCAAAAAATTAAAGAAATTTATAATAAGTGCTAAAAAACTAGGCCTTAGCAAAGTAAATTACATACTTTTTATTCCTTCTCCAGGAATAAAATAAAATGTTAGAATCAGTTTCAAGTTACGAAATAATTGAAACACAATACACGAGAACAATGATTCCCTGCACAATCACTATTAAAGTTGATTAGGTAAGATAAGGCGCAACAGTTCATTGATAGGTGTCAACACGTGGCAGTTAATGTGGCAATAGCTATTCACCTCCAGAAGATACTGTCAGCTATCACATACTTGGAAGTGCAATAGTACAGCCAAAACAGCAAATGTCATTAAGTTTGCAACATGGCAATGGATGCAACAGTTGCTGCTATCTAGGTAACTGTAACCGTGGAAATGAGGCTTAGTATAGATTTTTTTTTTTTTTTTCATGCAGGAAAAAGAGCCAAACCGATCAAAATCGGCTGGTAAAGGTTAATTTCTTGTATTGTATACCTACACCACCATAATAATTCTTGCAATGCAATCTAATTTTAGTATGAGTTATAATAAAAAACAAATTAAGAAAATAAATCTCACAGTCTATTATTAATGGCCATAGATCTATTTTAGATTTTCCATGGTTAATCAAATGGTAAGTTTTACAAAACTAAGCTCATTTGCTTTATTATTCTAAGATTTTTAAATTAAGTGAATCGCTAATATGCTTCTAATTACTAATAATAACCTTGATATTAGAAAGTTAAAAAATAAATACTTATTCACACACATATCGTTTTTTAAGATGTTTAAATACAAATTACAAACATATTTTGGAATTGTCATGATATTGTAATTTCTTTTTTAAAGTACTTGAATAAATATATAATTTTTGTGTAACAATTAAATGTTAACAACCTATATTTATTTCCTTGGTTTATTAAATACAAAATAGGTAAACTATAATGTTCAAGGTTATTGTCAAGTAGTTATATATATAAAATTTGTACCAGTGTGCTAATATTAGGTTTTAGGTTATTACCACTAACGTATTGCACACTTTAAATATCTTATACATACTAACGTGATGTTTTTTACCCTAAACTAACTTAATGAATCTAACAGTCTACATACAGACTGTCACATGAGGTTAATTAAACCAATATTAATTTGGTAACTGTGAAACAGTTATGGATCAGGTAAGTCAAGTACTTCTTCAACGAACGTTGTAATGTCTGTTGGAGAGTTAAGATGCCGAGTACAAAACTCATGCTCCAGAAGTTGACTATAGTAAGGCCTCAATGTGAAGTCCTTTTGAAGGCTAAAATAAAGAAAACAAAATTATAAACACAGAAGTAATAACATTTTTAATTTCAATAAATAAATGGTTTTGTGGATAAATTAAAGTAATATTTTTTTTTTAACTTTAAACTTATTTATATTTAAAGATAAATTTGGTAAAAAAAAAAAAAAATATGTGGTTGTCATTATACAGATCAATGACTACTATAGTCCGGGAGTCTCTGATAAAAAATAAGACATTTCTTACAAAGGTTCACCATATAAATTGACAACGTCCACAGTTCTGGAAAGAAAAATCCTGCCATTTTATAGTCATTATAAAATTTCTTTTTAATGGAGTAAACTTTAATGACTATAATATAAGGTGGTTTAAAGCCACCTTTACTGCCTGAACAAGTGTTAGAACATCAACGGTAAGCTCCAAATCTTGGCTTGCATAAGTTTCATATTTGTAAACATTTAATCAGCACTATTAGAAGAGAACTATTTCCACAGTTTTGTTTAAATTAATCTAAATAGGTATAATGTTTACCAACTTTCATTCTTCTGCCCCTTATCAATCTTGTCTAAGTTTTTTTGGACGACATAATATAACTTAATTTCTAGGCCAAAATATTATTTTTAAGTAAAATTTATAATTATTTCATACCAGGAAGCAATGAAATCTTGAAATTCTGGTGAAAAAGAAGAGCCTGATGGCAATCTCGGTGGCGCATCTTTGACAACTTGTTTGAGTTGTTCAAAAGGATTAGACCAGCGAGCATATGGAAATTCACTAGTGGCAAGTTCCACTAATGAAATACCGAGCGACCAAACATCTGAGCGTATATCATACTGTGAAGGATTCCCATTTGGATCAATCCTTTCGGGCTAAAAATATATCAAAATTAATACAAAACTATGAACAACATAAACATAAATTTCTTAAAATATCTTACAAAGTTTCTGATGATTACAAAAAGTTATATCTGAATTATTCTTCACAGACCTTAGGCTAATATAAATAAGGCATCTAAGAACAAAAATGGATAACAACAAATTCTAAAATTCAGCAAATAAATAAAAAGTTTGCTATTAATAGAATAAATTTCTGACATGCTGGTCAGCGAATTTAAAGCTTTTTAGTAAATATATATTTTTTAAGCCATATAAATTTTTCAAAAATGGATGTTTAAAAAAAAATTAAATGGATAATCTCTTTTTGTTAGTAGACACCTCAAGTACTCTAGTTATAATAAACAAATAGATAATATTGAAACAAATTCTTTTATTTTACTAATCCGATATTTTCAGATGATGCTTACGAGAGTGGTTAGGTAATTTGATCAATTTTGTGCTTGGATCCACTAAAATCATATAGATTAGAAAGAATTATAGCATCATCATGTGAATGAAACTAGATATGTGGGGAACCATAGCCAATAAAATTGATCAAATATTATGATCTTTGGAAGGTCTCTTCAGAACATTAAAGACGCATTTGAAAGGTTTCAGCACAAGAGCCAGATCTTTGGAATTCAAGTGAGGAGATGACAAAAATCATAGTCATAAGAAGAAAAAACTTGATGTATTCACAAAATCAGTACACAGCTGGCAATAGCAGTGTACAGTTTCCGCTCTTACTACAAGGAACAACGAGTTCGCCTTCCTGCTACCAGGAAGCGGTCTACAAGCTCGCCCGCGCTACATACCAAAAATTGTATCTTATATTTCTTATTGTTGTATTATAAAATATTTAAATTGTAAAATGAAATATGCATATTCATTGTAAATACTTCTTATTAATAAAGTTTAATGGCGATAACATATACTGATCAAAGCTCAAAAATAACTCTTATTGTAATGGCTCTTGGTAGCCTCCTCGACCGCTCCTTTCAAAATGTTACTAGTTTTAAATATCTAGAGAGCCACATTAATTTGACCTTGGATGAGGAGATCAAACTTAAAAATTTGGCTGCTAATAAAGCATCATACTCCATTGTGCATCTCTTAAGAGGTAGATTGATCATTCACACCACAAAAATTATTTTTTATAAAACTTTAATAAGACCAGCTGTGACCTACACATGTAAGACATGGGGATTAAATGGAGCAGTAGCTAGAAAAATGGATATTTTCAAACATAAATCACTAGGACATGACCTGGGCCCAATAAGAGAGAATGGATAGTTTGGCAATAACTAAAAAAATCAAGAAATTTATCAAATATATGAAGATTTGAGGGGATAAGACCTCATAAATATGTGTATCACCGTTGATAAAGGGTGGCATTTCTGGTTAGCCGACTTTAACGAAAAAGTTGCTGTAACATCAGAACCATATACAAATCTTAAATAAGCAATTTAGGGTTCCCTTTTTGAGTTAGGCTGTTCACACACACAGGCCATTTTATGGGACTTGGTTATTTCAACTTAAGAGACCTCAAAACGTGTATTTAAGTTGAAAATTGAGATTAGAATATTTTCACAATCGCAATAGTTTCCCTTATTTACTATATATTCCATATATAGATAATTGAAAGTAAAAATACAACGTTAAATAAGATTGGGTCGTTTGGTCAGGAAGTGCAAAGATACAATAGTCAAGAAGGCGTACACTTTCCATCCAGGAGTGACAGCTAGTGGAAGAACAGATAGAAGATGGGGAGACAGCATAAGTTCTGACGTGACGACAAATGGGTCATTCAAGTCTCTGAAACAATCTGCAGACCAAGAATGTTGAAACAGGTTAAAGACCACCTTCTTTATTAGTCGCATCTTTCAAGAAGAAGAAGAAAAAGAAAGAATAACAAAATGTTTTATTTATTTAATATATAAATATCGTATTGACTACTATTATCATACTTTGCAGTTATTATTTACTTTTATTGAGGAAAATTTGCTCAAGGATTGGAAATAAGTTTAAAAGAAAGAATCACTGAAAGGAGAAATTAACAGAATGGCTTTTGATGGTAATGTTGTCAAACAAAATGGAATTATTGAATCATAGCCAGGAGCTATTTTGTAAACACTCTTGATTTCATTAAGATTCCTTGTGAACAAAATGTTTCTTTAATTTTATAGGAAAAATCAGGAAGCCATGGCCTGATGGCCAAATGAAGTCAGCCATTGTTTCTTTTGATTCCTGTGTAAAAGTTTCACTTTTCATAACATAGTTTAATGACTAACAAAATTTTAATATTCAATTAATTTAACCAGTTGGAATAATTTAGTTATAATAATTATCATATCTAGTTAACCATTATACTTACAGCCATGTAAGGTTTACATCCAGCTTCAATTGTTTTGGCTACTGAATCTACAAGATAACCAGAAATCCCAAAATCACACATTTTTACTTCTCCCTTTCTGTTAATAAGTATGTTAGAGGGCTTTACATCTCTATGTATAACATGAAGACGACTATACAAGTAATGAAGAGCACTAACAACCTATATAAAACAATGTTATTAATGTCAGATCCTTATCTGTAAAATAGAGAGAAAATGGTTTACTATAAATTTAATTTCTTTATTTGTAATTTAGGATATGGGCTATTTTCTGAAATTAGGAAATTTTTTGAAAAATGAACTAGAACAAAAAGAAGTGTTTTGGGTGTAAATATTTTCATAAAGTAAAAATTACGAATTTTATATCACAAATTATTTCATTGTACGCTCACTTCAATAAATAGGTAATTACAGAATGTTTTCAAGTCAACTTATAGTTTTTAGATATACCTCCATTAATTCAACAATTTCGGTAATCTGACAGTACTAATCCCAGTATAGGACGGATTAACAAGATCTTACTGATAGAATAATTACTATTATTAATTATTAAATAGAATGACTATTAATTATTATATATATTATTATTAATAACCTATGACAATGAGAATAATTTTCATATTGATGTACTGATATTTGTGAAAATAATAATAAGTAACTGTTATTAGCTACTAGAACTATTAGATAGCTCCTGCCTAAAAACCATAACACTTAGCAGTTAATTGGATTGAGTACTGCACTGCAAAATGTTTTAAATGCATCTACAACGAAACACCTACACTTCTCACCCTTGGTTGATGCCCGACTAGCCATTCGTATATTAATTATCAAGGCTGTGGCAGAGCAGGTATAGAAATTTCACATCAATGACGATTTGATAACAACTTGTATGCAGACTACCTTGTATAGTTATAAGTCATAACACCAAATATCGACTATACATGGTTCAATTAACATAAATTAATAAAAATAACACATTTGAAAACTTACTGGTAACATATTCTTAATTTCAACAATACAAATAAAAAAATTGAATAAGATAAATTACTAAAAAGTTACCCACTGCTAGTGCTATGTTCCCAAGAATTGCTTCGGGGATTGAAAGATTGTGTTTTTTAGCTTTAAGATAAAATTTATCAAGAGATGTATCCATTACTTCCATACAAATCCAAACATCTCCTTCACGAAATAAAGCACCATAAAATTGAACAGTGTGATTACAATCTGAAGAACGCATAATAATATCCAGATCAGTTAGAGCTCGCTTCTGTTCAATAGTATTAACTGTTAATGTAATTCTCTGGAAAAAACAAAAAAAAACGATCAATATAATGGTAAAATAAAGGGTATTAATGAGTGGTCCAAGATTACATGATCATACTATAAATGGGTTTCCAGATTGACATGTTCACAATATAGCCTCCCTTCATCAATATCACGATTTATGACCTCAGCAAACTCCCAACTGGTGTTTTCAGCTTAAATTAATTAGCTTTAATTATATCAGTTTTTTACTCTTGCACATTACACTCACTCAAAGGCATAAAAATACCCACCACAGGTCGTTTTCAAATTAAGGTCGGCCTTACCAGACGATTCGATCACTTACATCTACTTTCAGAGACACTCCGCTATTATCAGGATTCCATTAATGGTGTGATCATGTGAGTGACACTTGTACAGTAGTACCTAATAAAGTTCATTTCTGCCACTTTTAACAATGAAGCAGGGGAAATGAGAACGATTAGTAAATTAGAGAAGTTGGTTGAGGAATGCAGTTATTAAAAGTACACAAAAATAAATTAAGTTTAGTCATAAAATAGAAATTGAGACTAAATTAAAAATATCACCTTAACTGCCATTACAGTCTCTGATGGAATATGCCTCATTCTATCAACTACTCCATATGCACCTCGTCCCAAATTACTAATTAGTTCTAAATCATCAGCTTCAACAACAAAAGTTTTATCACCAATAGTAATAGTGGTTCTTTTATCTAAATTACGAGGTGGAGCACTGAAAATAACTTATTTTTAGAATTATAACAATAATAAAAATAGTAAAGATTATACAAAATAACAGAGGACTCACACTGCTGGTGCTTCATCAGGAACTGAAATCTTCAAACGAGGGTTCTTTCTTTTGCCTAAAAAATAGACTTGAATAATCATATAATCCTTAATTAATGACCAAAATATATTAGTGAAATAGAATAAATATTACTGGACATTTTGGCAGGTTGTTTTCAAAATAGTAAATATAGTAATTTCTGCAATTTGGTACAGCCTTGATGCTCTATAGTCTTCAACTAAAAGACTATAGAGACTTGTTATCTTCAATCATTCCACTAACCAACTGCAAATAAGCATATATTTAATATCACACTTAAATATATGGTATGTATAGATCAGACAGATAAATATATAATTTAAGTTGTATTAATACCTGGAATAAATTTAAATATTCCATTACCAGAACTGATAACCCAAGGAATATCTATAGACAACATCAAGAGGCTGTCAACTAGGAAGGTTATGAAACTTAGAAGGTTCTTAACACCGACGCCTTCAAATCGATCGAGATCACTCTACTGAAAGTTAGAGAAACCTTGATAGTATTTTTTAAAAATTGTTATTTATTTTAAGAATTGGGAAAGCTGCCTGATATGCGTTTGAAATATTTTTAAAATCGCTTATAAGGTAAATTGGTAATCGAAGCTTGCAATTACATTAAATTAAAAATTTATTGTTAAGGTGAATAAATCTAATCTCAAATTAGCATGTAAATTCGATGTTTCAGAAGAAACTAGTTTATTTATATAAACTAGGATTAAAGGCCAAAATAAGAATTATGGCTATGTGCCATAACTGGGATATTTCTGTTCTATGTGCTTTACTCCTTAACTTACAGATAGTTTTTCAAGCGTTAACATGTCTACAATAATTATTGTTTTAATGGCGCCCTAACTGAAAATTTCTGAATAAGTGCTTCGGATTGTACAACATAACGATAACCCGCTTCCGTCCAAAATTTTATATTCAAATTGCCCTATTAAAAAAATCATTATATTATGTTGAGATTTGCACAAATATTACAGTAACTAGTATTAGTCACAGAGCTTTCGGGCAAAAGCCCCCCTCCCCTAAAAAAAAATGGTAACATGTAACAATATTTTACGATAAAACATATTAAAAAATTGTGTTTTAAATTATTATTGTTCGTGTAATTCCTGGATCCTCCAGTGGTATCAGTTATAGTTATTATTATAATTTTTAGTAGTATTTCAGATACATATGTAATTAACCAATATTGTCACACCAAACTGTGAAACCAAGTTATCGCATTATTACTTCAGGACATAATCGAAAAATTGGTGTTTTTTTCAATCAATAGAGCGACAAAGTTCACCAAGTGATCACCAGGAAGGGTTGCCAGCAACGAGGTTTCCCTCAGTTGATTTAATTTTTTTTTTTACTCTCTGGAATTTAAATTAGTGAAAAAAAGTTCTAAAACAACTTGATTTTTTTTAATTAATTGATTCATAAATCATGATGGATAAAAAGCTAATGAAAATATGTTTTCTCGGTCACATATCTTTCATTGCGACATAATATTCTTATGTTCTAGCGCTGGTAATGGAATAAAATACTTAATAAATAAAGTACTAAAACCTAATTGGATAAAGTAGATAAAAAATAAGAAATATCCCAAAAAAATCAAAGGAGGAAAGTCCCAATCTGGAAATCCTGCCAAGCTGACCAAGAGATTACGTATCAGGGTTACCAGTTCTTCCTAGGTTTAGGAATTTTTTTTCATCCTTAAAGTTTTTGTTCCTTTAGCTGATAGTTTTAAGGTAATTTAGAGATGGATATAAAAAAAAAATGTTTGAAAACGCCTTTTTTTTTTTTTTTTTTTTTTTTTTTTTTCCTACCCCTCAGGAATTTCTTGAATAAATTCAGTATGTATATAAATGTATATATACATAAATTTTCAACTTTCCTTTTATTGCCCAAGGGCATTTTAAGTTAAGAGGGCTCTGCACGCTGTATGCGTTCTTTGCATCTGTGGCCAAAGGCCTTTTATTATACCACTGGGCATGGAGGGACCGCCCTGCATTAATAAACGCCTTGATTTTTAAAAATAGTTTTATTGACCAAACGTACAGTATAATAAGCGAGTAAAAAGATTTTCCCACTATCTTTCATTCGTCCATATCTTTCATCGAGACATATTCATACATTCTGTCAGGGTTCGCTAGGCAGTCATGTATTTTTCCCTAAACTTATATAAATTTCCCTCTAAATCCAAATTCTTCACCTTCACCAAAATTATTCCTCAAGAATAAAATGAAGATAAATTATAATTAGTAAGCAATTAATATAAAAAATATAACATAGTCGGTGGATTTAATCATAACATCATTTTTCTTCTAAATAAATTATTTTTTAAAAATCTAGTGGATAGTTTAGTTACTAAACGAGACCATAGACAAGAAAGGATATCTTGAGCTTTGTAGCGAAATGTATTGTGTTGATAAAGATTAAAACTATGGATATCTTTATATAAAAAATAGTATACTGTGGCTCTACTTTTGATTACTTATAAATACAATATCATCTATTTTATAATCTTTGTATGTTGGTAAAACGTTTTTATTGTGACGTCACATTACTAAAATCCAATGTAGAAATTCAATTAAAATATCTCTTACCCTTCTGTTGGAATTGCAGATCCCTGGCCCACCTGAATCAGTCTCGCCCCTTTCTATCTAGGGCTACTTCCGTTCGCGGAATTTAATAACCAAAAAAAAAAAGTCTGCCAAGTAAAGTCAGTATAGCTTCCTCACCGTTTTCATTGGCTCTATATTTGAAGGTGTATAATTTTTCGTATGAGAATAAAATCTCCGGGAGGAGCCGTTTTCGGAAATACAGTAATCACTCAACAATCACCGGTTTAATATACACAAATTTTGTTTATCAACGAATATTAAAATGCGTAAGAGTTCCACATTTCCAGATCACCTATTTGATAATTCGTGATTAAAAAAAAAAATCCCACTACGTACTGAACATTCATATCGCTATTGTTAGTGCAAAAAGTCGTATGTACGAACTCAGTGTTTTACATGAAAACATAAAAACTAATCATTCTTTAATGATTTATTAGTATAATTTCATATTTTTTTGCCCTTTGCTATTTTCCATAGTACCAGACTACCTATATCAGTTGCAAATTGCAAAACGTCACCTTTAGTACAAATAGAATAAGAATTAAAAAAATATACATACGACTAACAGTTACGATATATACGTAATAGATATGTTTTCACTCGTAAAATGGATGGATCCAAAAATCCATTGGAAAATTTTCAACTTTTTGTTCGTTCAGAATTAACGAGACCAATATTTTTCTTCATTCAGAACAAAACCAATTTAAGTTGCAATATAAAAATATGAGTGAAGTTCACACAATTTTGATGTTTAATGAGGAAATCGAGACCAGGATGAGCTGGTTGAACTTCATTAGAAATAAATACAATTACAAATAAGACTTTTTTTTACCCACTCATAGTCAAAATTACTTAAAATTTACCACAGGCGGATCTACGGGGGCGGCTTTCGGGCTGAAGCCCCCCTAAAACGGTAAAATATAACCATGTTTTATAGAAAACAATATTAAAAACTATCTCTTAAAGTATTATTGTACATGTAATTACATTTAATAGGACATCAAGAGTCACTTAAACACCATTTCATATAGGTAGTTAATTTCTTTTTTTTTTTTTTTAAATTATTTTTTTATATATGAAAAAAATTCTTTCGGGCTGGAGGGAAGCCCCCTCCAAAAATAAATCCTGGATCCGCTAGTGAAATCTACTGAAAGTTACACGAAATCGAAAAGTAGCGGCAGCAAGTATCATGGCAGCAACGTTTGGAATCAACCAAACAATATGGTATGAATACAATTTGATAAAGTTGATATGGGACTATCTAGACATCAATTTTTTCACTAATTTCAACTCCAGAGAGTAAAAAACCAAAATCGAAATCTACTGAGAGAAATCTCGAGCTGGCAACCCTTCCTCTTGTTCATTTGGTGAACTTGGTCGCTCTGTTGATTGAAAAAAAACAAAAATTTTTCGATCGTGTCCTAATGTAATAATGCGATAACTTGGTTTCACACTTTGGTGTGACAATATTGGTTAATTACATATGTATCTGAAATACTACTAAAACTGATAATAATAATTATAACTGATACCACTAGCGGATCCAGGATTTAATTTTGTGAGGCTTCAGCTCGGAAGCTTTTTTTTTCATATATACAACGATAATTACTTTGGAAAAAAAAGAAAGATACTAGTTACCTATATGAAATGGTATTTAAGTGATTCTTGAAGTCCTATTAAATGTAATTACACGAACAATAATACTTTTAGAGATATTTTTTTAATTCTTTTTCATAAAACATAGTTATATTTTACCATTTTTTTTGTGAGGGAGAGGTTTTCAGCCCGAAAGCCTCCCCCTCCCACCGTAGATTCCTGTGCACATTACAAATCAATTTAATGTAGAATTTTATTAATATCAAATGTAGGGAGGCGGGATGGCCGAATGGACTAACGCATGTGCACAGCACCTCAAGTTGCCCAACAACCAGATAATCGAAATTAGGACATTAAAAAAGTACTAGTTCGCATCTCGGTGCCAGAAGGGATTTTAAATTCCCCGCCCTTACCCCCCATCATGGGAAAATCCCGTATAGCCTAAAAATTGAGGTAGGAAAGAACAATAAAAAAAAAAAAAAAAGGTAATAGTTTACATCATGCCCGCAGCTTTTTGGGCTGGGGTGGGGGCGCTTATCCTCAATGATAGTTCCTGGTTAGGTTAGATTACCTGCCTAGCAGTTGTTGCCCCCACTACTCTTCTCCTTTCCCCTACTTTTTGAAATTCCCGCGACTACCCACCATCCTGCACTTCAACTTAATTTTTGACAGTATCCAGTTCCTAGTTCTTCTACATACATATTTCTTTGAAAATCCTACCATTCTCCCACCATCATCATTTTCCAGTCATTAATTTCATTTGCATTTAATCTTCAACTGTTAGTTGCTATTTCATTTCTGGTGTCAGAAATGATTTTGTTCATGCTTTTGTTCAGTTTCATTGTTAAAAGATATAAATGAAATAATAAATAGTTTAATAATGTTAAAATGTATTGAAAATAAAAAAACAGCAATGTTTTACTTAAAACAACTACACAATTCTATTAATAAAGACTTTGAAATGGGAGAAACACCTAATAGCTTTTATTTATCCATCATATTCCCTGTTCATAAAGTAGAGGATAAGAATGACACAATGAATTACATGGGCATCAAGTTTGAAAACCCAATAGTTAAATTATTGGCTTACTCATTAATATCCAATAACTAGTTAAAGAATATAGGCAGCATTTAGGAAATATTATTCTATTAAAATCTTACTTATTATAATTATCTTAAATTTGCAGGAGAAAGAAAATAAGGCACATGTTATACTTTGTTTGATATATTTTGCTATCTGCAATTATTATAGAACTAAACATATAGTTCACTACTAGGCATTATATTACAAATTGTAACAC